CAGTCAATAACTCAAAAAGTACTCAAAGGAATGCGATCTGGCAGATGGATGTGTTCCACTTTACAGATTCTGGAAAATTAAAGTATGTATACCACACCATTGACACTTATTCAGGTTTTCAATGGGCAACTGCTTTAAGCTCAGATTCAGTAATTATGCATTTGTCAGAAGTTATGGTCATCACGGGTATACCTGCACAAATAAAAACAGATAATGGTCCAGCATATGTCTCTAAGAAAATGAAACAGTTTTTTGCTTATTATAATATAAAGCATGTTACAGGTATACCAAACAATCCTACAGGTCAGTTATAGAAAGGCCAAATCGAACTATAAAGGATATGTTGAACAAACAAAAACGGATGATAAATAACCCCATAAATACATTTCATAATGCTTTATTAACCTTGAATTTTCTTAATGCTAATGAGAAAGGATCAGCAGCAGCAGAGACACATTGGATAAAAGAAAAAACTCATGAATTAAATCAGCCGGTGTATTTCAAGGATGTGTTGACCTCACAATGGAAACCAGGAGATGTGCTACGTTGGGGAAGGGGTTTTGCTCTTGTTTTCACAAGAGAAGAAAAGCTATGGATATCATCAAAATTAATAAAGATTCGTCGTAAAAAAGAGAAACCTTTTGAGAAAAAGAAATGACAACTCAACCACATAGGTGACAACCAAACAGGTGGTAAGGAAACCTCATAACAGTTGGGGCAAGGTTCTGTCCTTGTCTTTACAGGAAAATATTCATCTTCAAAAAGTCAAGAGACCCTGGACATCTAGACCCCTAAAGAGGAAAAGATAAGGAGGAAAAGATCCAGCTAGGATCACCAAGTAAAGAGAATTATGACTTATGAGGACAGGTCATTTGAGGGTAAGAATCACTGAACATAAATATTCACACACACACACACACACACACACACACACACACACACACACACATACATATATAGGCTGCTTACTATAATAATAGTCATGACTCATTTAAAAAAATCAAAACTGGAGTGGACAATGGCTCTGTCTTTCTCTAAATCCAAGCATGTTGTTAAAAGAAAAATTCAGAGTTTCTGTCTCATGTCAGGAGCCATCTGGTATGGGACAGAAGGAAGAAAGAATTTGGGGAAAAGCTTACTTTCCTTCATACCTATTTATGTCTCTATTGCACCTCTCATTGACTATATGTCTGTAGAAATAATGTTTAAGTTTTCTACAATGAATAATGAATTTTCCTGCAGTAATCTTTGAAGTTTCCAGGAAGAAGATAGGGCCCCACAACAACTCCAGCTGGCTGATATGACGTCATAATGCTAATAGTGCTACTATAAAATCTGTTTTGGGTACCAACTTTTCAAGATGGTTCCAACTTGGTTAGATGATATGGTGCACCTTTTTACAACGTTCTGGCCAGAACTCCAAACAGGAACCTCAGAAAAACCCTATCAAATACTGAGAGACTATTTGCAATTATACCAGACAGTAATCTTGAAACTTAACCATCATTTTACTTTCACAGGATTCTATAGAAAGAACATTGCCCCCATGACAGCTGGAAGTACTTCTAGAAGATGACGTCCCCCCTCCCAAAAAAGTTTGTCCTCAGGGTTAAGGACATCATTTAGAAATTGATTATAATTGATGTAGGGTTGAGAGTTGGGGTGGAAATTATGCAGACTCAGGGTTCTCTTTAAAATAAGAGAAAAATTTGATGGGATAATAGATAGTATGAGTTTACGCACACTAATAATAATAGTGAGTAACAGAGTGAATACTTTTGAGCTACTATTTATAGGCAATTTACATTGGTATAGATTTTTGTATATTGATACAAATTCAAATTATATTGAATATGTTCCTATTTCTGTCTACAGTATTTGTACACCTGGGCAAAGTTATTTTGTCATATTGTATTCTTGCATGTTTCTACCTCTGCTTGAAACATTTTGTATACTGACACAATTTAGGATATATTTATCATATTGCACTATACATTTCAACCTCTGATCAAGATACTTATACACTGTTTACATGTTGAGGTCATTGTTCTCATTTGTACAGTTGTTTAAAGATTGCTTAATATTCTAATATGAAGTCTTAGTCTTTAAGTTATAAAGGTATTAAGAATTATAGGTCAATAGTCATTCATGTTTGTCATACTTATAATTAGACTAATCAGGTTCTTTAGATACATACAGATTGTATTCTGCATAGATAGGTAATCTTCAACCACTTCAAAGAGCTGTAGAATATGGCATCTAAATAACTTAGGGTTCTGTTGAATCAAGATACGATTGCTCCTGGCAGCACTGATTTATTCCCAAGAGAATGTTGAGCACCGAAGACACTCCACTTAGAGCTTGTTTTATTCTTGGCAAAACTGCCCACGCATTGACCACTGACAAAATGCACAATGTCTGGACAGGACAAGCAGGATACATGAAAAAAGACTGTCAAATCTTGCCAAGACAGGGTAACACAGTTTTGTAAAATTTCCTGCCTCTGAAAATGGTCTGTCAGTTACTCTAGGCCTTATCCAAAGTTGGTTGCTCCAACGTTGCAAATGAGACTTTGGGTGACTGCCCAGGTAGCCAGCAGTTGTCTGTCATTTGTTGCACATTTTAGAAGTAGCTTGATTGCACTTTCTGCTTACTCAAGTAGTATTATTTCCCTTCTCAGGTCTTCGATGGGGTTGAAGACTAGATAGTCGTAGTTACTTTCCTCTCATGACTTGGCCAAGTTATTTCTAATACAAGACTTAGATTTCTTAGGACAGGATAATTACTGAAACATTTATTAAGTTTCTTGCTTGATATTGTTGTTTATGCTAGTTGTAATTCTAATTTTTAAACTTAATATTTGTTCTTATTGTGAATAATTTTGAACTGTCTTATTTAAACAAAAGGGGGAGGTGCTGTAGGAACTCCTTCAGCCAGTAGCCTTTAAGTTACGGGCCCACTTGGGCATGGCTTCTTATACCATAAATGCTAATGTAAATCACGTGTGCTTTCTCTTCTGACTGCTGGATTAAGTTCCTGTTTCCCCAATGGTACAGATGACTGTGATCTGTAAATCTACCCCTAAATAAATAACCCTTTATCATACTAAATTCTGAACTAGTATGGGATCTCTTTTTAATGTCCATCGTCAAGTTTTATCTTTCCAAACCACCTAAAACCTTCATAATCTTCCTGTAACCCACTTATACATAAACAGACTTCTCTACTTACCATTTACAGTCTTCCCTAATAGGCATATATTTACTTCTCATTTAACCTTTCTGGGTCTTCACTTATGGAAAAGTATGTTTCATGGTTCTCAGGATATGGATCATAGTTTCCTACCTTTGTCGTCTTCTTCACTTGTAGTTTTTGCAACATTCTGAAATGCCTGAATTTCATGGAAAATTTTTCTAACAGTTATCAACCTTCACAACAATTTATTATAGGCAATATACCACAGCAAAAGATGCATGTTTTACTACCCGGACTCACATGTCCCATAATAGCAAGACTCGTGAAACAGGTGGTAACAGAACACATCTTTGCATAGAACTGGTAAATCATCCTTAGTTCTTTTCTATTACTTTTTTTGTTTTGTTGTTGCTGTTTGCAGTAATGGGGATCAAACTCACATGTTAAACATGTACTGGATAGCAATCCTTACCCCAAGCCTCACCCAGTATCTCTTTAATGGGTAAGATGCAAGTTCATTTTCCTACCATTCTAAAGGTTGAATAGCATTATTTTCATCAGAATATATAAAGTAATATAGTCTTTCTGTGGCAACAACACAGAATTATGCTCCCCTCCCCACCAGAAAATGACAGCCACAAGAATGAAACATTCAACACAGCCTTCTAAGATTGTCCTTCTCACAAGGCACTTTCCTTCCACAATCATAAAGAAAGCTAAACCCTATGAAAGGGGAACTGGGCACAGGATGTATGTTAACTAATCCAGCTAAACAGATGCCATCTGCCTGCTCAGTCCAGCAGGAACTCACATGGCCTATTTCTATCATCTAATGATAGACAGACAGAAAACTGGCTCTCTAGAAGTTGACACCATCCAAATGACTTACTATGTACTCAATAAGGGGGACAACTAAACTTACATCTCAATTTGATGTGATAACTGGAGGGATAGAAAATACAAATAAGAACCCTGAACACCCTCTGAAGATACTCAACTGCAGTATTATTAGCATTTGTTTCTTATTGCTATATACCTCATTGGTTTACTTCCACTAAATAGGATCACAGATTTAATAGAAAAATTAAGGTATGACTCAGGAGGTATAGGAAAACAGTATTTTAAAAAGCAAAGTATAGGAATACACAAAAGGAAATTCTTCTCTGCACACAGTGTTCCTTAAGACTTTAAGACATCTAGACAAGAAAGCTCAGTAATGATGCATCTGCCTTTGAGCCATTTCTGTTTCTCTAAATGACACCTCATTCATATTCATTATATCTTGAATGAATGGATGGATGGATGGATGGATGGATGGATGGATGGATGGATGGATG